TCATGTAACATAAGTTGAATATTAAAAATTGGTGGTCTTAAACGTAAAGCATTGTAATGAATAATGCAGCGTGGGAAGCTGTAGTGAGCACAAGTTTTATTGTTCAGCAGTGTGGCAAACAGTGCAGAATTAAGGAACATGGAGCTGAAAAACATACGAGGAATTAAAAATATTTATACTCATTTACTTCATCTGTTCGTCCCTATACATTTATTGGCATAACCGGAAGGGCAAACTGAGCGATTTCTGCAACTATCGACAACGCACAACAATAAATGCACAGAATGAAGGACATGGGTGGACGTGGATGTTATCATGTAAGATTAAGAACAATATACACAGTAACCAAAATTTCTAAAAGAAACGAAATAAACTGTGCAAGCAATGTTTCAAGCTGCAAAGAGACACATGACACAGCGGAATACTGTTGATCGTCTTTTTCAATTGACAGAAAGATAGATAGATAGATAGATAGATAGATAGATAGATAGATAGATAGATAGATAGATAGTAGATAGATAGATAGATAGATAGATAAGATAGATAGATAGATAGATAGATAGATAGATGTAGATAGATAGATAGATAGATAGATAGATAGATAGATTAGATAGTAGATAGATAGAAGATAGATAATGATAGATTAGAATAGATAGATAGATAGGATAGATAGATAGAGATAGATAGATAGGATAGATAGATAGATAGATAGATAGATAGATAGATAGATAGATAGATAGATAGATAGATAGATAATGTGGGGTTTAACGACCCAAAACACCTTCATACGACTGTGAGAGACGCCGTAGTGGAGGGCTCCGGAAATTTCGACCACCTGGGGTTCTTTAACATGCACCCAAATGTGAGCACACGGGCCTACAGCATTTCCGCCTCCATCGGAAATGCAGCTACGGCAGCCGGGATGCGAACCCGCGACCTGCGGCTCAGCAGCCAAGTACCTTAGCCACTAGACCACCGCGGTGGGGCAATTGACAGGAAGATTATCCCGCGCATCACATGTCATGTTATATGCCAGATATGTTCAAAAATGTACGAGAATAGCTACATGCAAACTTGCGCAGTGGCATGGCCGTTCCCACCTCTCGTATCCACGAACCACGTCTGCAAGTGAAAGGTGCCACCGTAAAGCAAAGAAGTAGGCAACGGGAGAGAATGGAATCACTGTGCCACGCTGTGAAAGTGATTTTCGCCACTATATCTCTATCAGTTGAACTTTCGCTCTTACAGATGGACGAGAAGAGCGCATAATGGCTTCACAAACTGTGGCGGCTGCATTTCCGATGGAGGCGGAAATGTTGTAGGCCCGTGTACTCAGATTTGGGTGCACGTTAAAGAACCCCAGGTGGTCAAAATTTCCGGAGCCCTCCACTACGGCGTCTCTCATAATCAAATAGTGGTTTTGGGACGTTAAACCCCACAAATCAATTAATGGCTTCACAAAAACCATCTTTTTTATTACCCGCCACGGTAGTCCAGTGGTTATAGCGCTCTTATTTTGACCCGAAGGTTGCGGATAGAAATACCCGTAATTTCGATGTAGGTTAAAATTCTCGAGGCCTGTGCACTTTGATTTGCGTGCACGTTAAAGACACAATGTGGTAAAAATTTTCAGAGTGCCCCACTATAACTTCTCTCATAATCGCCTTGTCGCCAACAAAAGATGAAGATATGATGGAGATCAGTTATTTTCTGTTCAATTGCTTTTGTACTTGCGCTGATGACTTTATCTTTTCAACGAGTGACTCGCCTTTGAGTGCTTCAAGAAAATTCGTCACGTATAGAGCAGCGGTATTCTGGTATTCACACTCGTTGTGGCTTCCGAAATTTTCCAGCGCGTTCTTCCAACGTTTGCATGAAGATAGGACCAAGCTTGCACCAAGAACTTCGTGAGTCCCCTTGCCTTAACTTTCTTTTCTAAAAGGCCCACATGTTTTGCTCCCTACTGACCTTTGCAATACACCAGCAGCCAGGAAAAGCTCTTTTGCCAGTGAGGTTGGAACTTCAGTTTCCGCTTACTAAGAAAACGCCGTAGTTGGCGCCATGACGTCTGTAGCAGACGTCCTCTTGTCTCGTCGTGCTGCAACTTCTGGCATCTTGACCCATTAAACAGGAGAAGACCAATGTTGTTTTGAGGAATCGTGGTTTCCGTGCATTCATCATGCTCCCATCGGTTTTCAGAAGTTCTTTCGCCACGCGATTAATATTCACGCAGTGCAGAAATACAGCTAAGAACCGTTTTTGTTTTTTTGGCTGCTGTAGCTTTTTCAAAAAAAAAAAAAGCTAGTTGTCGAGTGTGCACTCGGAGCAGCGTCGCCTTTCGAGAAATAATCATCGAACGTTACCTCACGGCGTTTCGGTGCGGCCATCAAGTCTCATAGAAGGGCCCTGATTGAAACAAAACACGATTTACCCAACAATACGTGTAGGCAGCGTATTTCACCGGGGTGACTTCGCATTGCTAGGAAGGAGTGTGGCAGCTTGGGCTAGTTGGTATGGCATGATGATAGTTATAGTTATAGCGCGAGAACAAAACGACGACACAGAGACTTTCGTGTCCTTCTTGTCTCTGTGTCGTCGTTTTGTTCTCGCCCTATAACTATAAGCTAGGAAGGAACGCGCTCAGCAAAGTTTGGGCAGTGACACAAGTGCGAGAGACGAGAACTTTAGTGACGTTACATGTCGGCTGGTTAAGTTCTGCCTTAACTAGCGCTCGTTTATCCCCTAGCGGAAAGATTTGCGGTTATACATTTCCTCCACTTCACTTTAGGCGGAGGTAAGGTCGCGCTCGCCCAGTATCTTACTCTGCGCGCGAAACGTCTTGCGTTTGTGATGGTACCCCTACAAAAGGCTGGTAGTTTCTGTTGCGTTGTGATCTCATACCACAAACGTGAATGAACGCAAATGAGTTCATGCAAGCAGTGACATTTCAGCGGCTCGCATCGGAATGCCCGAAACAGAGAACCGACAGGCATGGATGGTACACGGTACAGCGTAAGTAAACTCGTGTGTCATGCGCTGGCAGTTCTCGTCGGAGTTCACGCGTCTGAGAAATCGATTATGGTCAACCCTGCTCTAAACAAGACCGGAGTTCATTCCTTCATTGCTAGTGAACCAATCACTCGATATTTTATGTGGTATGAGGTTGCTCCTGTTCGCGCCGGTGTAACTGCTGCAAACATGAACGTATGCACTGGTTTTTGTACATGGCTTATCTAAGCTACGCGGTGAAATATTCTGTAGAGCTCTGAATCTTTTGACGTAAAGGGAAATGACGGCGGCAAGCTTGCAAACAAAGGAGGACACTATGCCACAACGCTGTTGTTTCAGGGGGCAGAGCGACGAAAGCTACGAACAAAATTAAGAAACGTTTTCTAGCACATAAACCCAGCGAATAAGCTACTTCTATGTGAGTATCTATAAGGTCCGTTCGGTTTGCCTTACACTACGTGAGGAGGTTCCTGGCAATTAAGATGACAGTGCAGCTAGAGCTGAAGTCATACAGCACCAGTTCAGCAAGTGCTCGCGTAGCGCGACTCAAGCTCAACATTGAGATGAACGCCGAAGTGAAGGTAGTGCATCCACAGTACCACCGAACGCGTGTTGCGGGCGCAGTGTTTCTCACTTGTTCGTTCTGTGCTTGTGTGTAAAAGCGTTGGTGTGCACGCTGGCAATTTCGTCCAAGACGCCATAGATTTTGTCACAACATGTGCAGCTATTGAGCAAAGTTTTATAGAACTGATAAGAGTTCGACAATGCATCGTCGCAGCTGTTACTGTGGAATTGATACGTTGCAAACCAACAGAATGTCGAGGTACCGCTAAGAAGTCGTGAGCCAGTACCTTGCTTTTTTCCTAACGTGACAACTGGGCGACGATCGGTTAGTGCTGAACAAAAACGAGCTTGGTAGTTTTGTGATACTTGGTTGGACAGCCCCTTGGCTGAACGGTTCGACACTGCCATGTCGATACACACAGTTGGGTTGAGCAAACTTCGGATTTTTTCAATAGCGTGAGTGCGGAAGTGATTCCTTGCAAACAGACAGAAAACAGGAGTACAGCAAAGCTGGTTTCCTGGAAAAAACTGGCTGCATGGGGCTTAAAAATGCCATATGATGCAAAGGCGGCTGACATGTGGATATGAAAAAGCCGATGGAGTCACCAAATTTCCATTTACGTGGTTCACGTCTTCAGCCAGTATTGGCGTCAACCTCATGAGAACGCCGCTTACGGATACACATAATTCGTCTGCTACCATGGCTGCAACAGCACCACTGCTTTTACTCGAGCTGCACTACCTCCAAACTCACTGCATGGTTTTGTCTGAACTGGCCGTGCACAATTCCTGCACTTTTTTAAACAAATGGGAAATTTGTGAAGGGCATTCATGTGCACAGCCTCCAAATGTGCGCAGCCAACAGGCTTTAAACAAATAACTTAGTTCTGAAGTCGCCTGCTTGCGCTACAAAAACGAACGGTTGAGTGCGGCACCACGTGAACCAGTTCAGGCAGTGCAGATAAATCGAACGGACTTATCGTCTCGTCCCGGGTGAATTTTCGATGGAGACCAACTGAACATTTTTCAACAATGTATACCTTTCCCTTCATGATTGCACGATAAAACCTCTACGATTGGAGTACTTCATTGCTATCAAAGGTCACAGTGCAACTTTAATGTCAACCAAGGTGCGAGAAAAGTCTGTCCGAAAAATAACGCGTGCGTAATCGTGTTGTCAACGCGCAGCATAAGTTATAAAAATGTTACTTATTGAGATCGTAACCATCCTTGGATGCGCGCCGCAAAGTTAAAAAATGTTGATGAAAAGCTGTCACTGCGTCAAGACTGCTTGACATATAGAACTTAACATTAAAAGCATTCCCATAGGCATGCAGTCACAAACATCGACAGTAAGAAATTATTCATTAGGCAGAGTAAGCAAAACCAAAATGTGATTATAAAGTACAAAAACATCCTGCATATACCTTTCATTCCTGTTTGTAAGCGGAGCCGTCCTTCACTTGTGAAACGCACTTCACCGCGACGAGGACTACGCCATCTCCTCTTAACAGAGAATAATGATTAAGGATGTCTTCTCCGATCTGGCGGGCCATCGCAATGATGTGTTTTCGAAGAATATGAAGTGACGGTTTTCGCCGTCGCGCGATTGCATAACGCGATAACACACCCGACACCTTCGGTTACCAAACTGCGCGTCTTTTCTTAACCGGCAAGATAGCTTTGTTTGCCGCAAGTGTGAACCGCAGTGTAGCCTACGTGAGCGAGCGCCCGCGCGCGTTGAGGGGTTAGTGAAGATAGGGCACAGAGAGAGAGAGAGAGAGAGAGTTACATTGACTTTGCCGTCACCTTTTGTACGGACGCCATCATCGCGAACAGATGGTAGTGGGGCTAGGTCGAAGACAAACTTTGCGGTGACGGGAGTGCGGCAGCTGTTAGGAGGTACTAATTACCGTCCATCAAGCGAGAGCACGGGCAGGAACTTGCTGCGGGGGAATAGAGCGTGTGGGCGGTTGAATCAACGCTTGCGTTGCAGCCGATGTTACCTTCTGTGGTCTGCGTGCTTGGCATCTTTCGTGCTCAGCACATTAGTCTCTCCGGGCGTTCCAACCGTCCCGCTGCTTTTAACAGCACGTCAATCACGTAAACACGACGGCATCCGTGGAAAATACGGCGAAACAGATCTATATTGTACGCACATGACAGAGGCGTTCTATTTTTAGTTTTGTTCTACTGCAGCTAAGCCGCGTTAAAACATTTCGCTACAATTCCTGTCCGTTGAAGGTGTATACTTGCTGGTATGCTGTTTATTATAGAAATTGGTGTAAGTAAATAACATTTCTTCCTATTTCGCCGGCATTCTCCACTCGTAGGAATTTTGTGGGAAACATCCCGTCATGTGTCTTTTCAAACGTTAAATTGTCTATCTACGTAATAAATACTGCTCCAAAATCCACTATTAAAGCGTTGGACATCAATGATTTGCTCCTATTAACACTCCCTATTCAGAATAAAGGTTCAATTTTGCGCTTCACTTTGACCAAAATATGCTTCGTCTATAGCATTTCATTCTTCCTTCACGCAAAAATTTATACCGTCTTTGTCCTGTTTTCTTAAAGCCTTTGTAATGTTCTTTCTGGATATCTGGTTGGTTCCAAACACCGAGGTATTCTGTCGGCAGGACGAACGGCTCACGTTCTGTTCCCGAATGTCAACAGGAGACGTATTATGCGCGATGAGTTGATTTGGTAGCATCACGGAAATTGACTTTCGAGTACTTACGCTGTACATTCCAGCAGCTCCACTGCACATATATGCTAAGCGGAATACGCAAAGACCACGCGCGTTGACCATCATGCCGACGTGTTCGGAGAAACCATACTATCGGGGTAGACATAGTCGGGAGGAAGTAAAGTTTGCGGATGTTTCCGTGAACGTCAACACTTTAAGCATTCGTCGACGTCGACTGGCTTGTTCAATATGCATGGCGTAAATAGTTCAGGATTTCAGTGTTTAACCGGTCTTTTGCACTGCCACTGTGATTGGCATAACCTTTGACCCGGCGACGATGTCATGGGATCTCTTCATAATGCCACGTTATGCACTCTGATGCCACAAATTTAGGCTGTAAAATGGTGTGATGATGACGTCATCGCAAAAGGATCAAAATGTGGGCCAGTTGGTAATTCATTTTCTTCGTTCAGCGAACTGGGAGCGCAGAGAAAAACACAAAGGACGAAGCGAGGAACCACACAACACGAGCGCTCAACATGAGCGCTCGTGTTGTGTGGTTCCTCGCTTCGTCCTTTGTGTTTTTCTCTGCGCTCCCAGTTCGCTGAACGAAGAAGATGACGTCATCACGTGATCATTTTTGTTGTGATAGCAATTATATAGACATTCTCAGCTGTTTTTTTTTTTTTGCCGTCGTCATCGCCATTTTTCGCCGCCGTTATATTCCTTATATGCATAGGTATCTATATAAATAGATAACAACAAATATAAATAGATAGGCAACAAAAATAATTCAGAAAAACCTGGCGTGCGGAATCGAACGTGCGACCTTTCGCTTCGGAGCGTGCGGCGTTAGCCACTGAATCACGATCACGCACGTTTTTCAACGTTAAAACGGCAAGCTATTTATCTACAGCACAGGAAACATACAAGCTGACAAGACCTTTTTCGAGCACACTGCGTCATCTACCGTTTTGAAACGCACTGCCCGTGATGTAAATCTACTTCCTTCTCAAGGTTACATGAAATACTTCAGCGTAAGCTGAGGTGAAACGAGGTTGTTGTGTTGAGGTGCTGAAATTGCGCGCCAACTTTGTCGCGTAACAGGGGCTTTCATAAAAGTCAACGCGTACACTAAGAAAACGGCCGCATACCTTTGTCTGTTAATCGAAAGCGAAGAACAAGATACTAGCTGGTATTCTATAAGTGCTAAAGCATGCACACAAAGAACCCCATGTTATGCAAAGCCGTCCAGAGTGGCATCGTCCGAATGGCGTGGAAGACATGCGCATCGAGCATTGCGCGTTACACGTATGTATGAGAGTTGAATAAGCAACATTGGTTGAACGATGCGAAGGTGTGAACGTTAAGTATATTTTAGCGATAAAAATTGTTTCGAGGACTTCAGTACTGATTGGGCCGATTGCTGTATAGCATATCACATTAAACTTGCCGATATGACGTATACCCCTCGTGCCGCCCCCAAAAGTCTGAAGTGCTGCCTCCACAGTAGCCAATCATTCACATTAAAAGAATGTTTCGCTTTGATTGATTAATTGATTGATATGTGGGGTTTAACGTCCCGAAACCACTATATGATTATGAGAGACTCCGCAGTGGAGGGCTCCGGAAATTTCGACCACATGGGGTTCTTTAACGTGCACCCAAATCTGAGCACATGGGCCTAGCACATTTCCGCCTTATCGGAAATGCAGCCGCTGCAGCCAGGATACGATCCCGCGACCTGCGGGTCAGCAGCCGAGTACCTTAGCCACTAGACCACCGCGGCGGGGTAACAATGTTTCGCGCACCACTAGTGTTCAATGAAGCAATTGAGAAAAGAGAAGGAATAACAAGGGTATCAGAAAGGGAGAGGCGAGAGGCTGCAACTTTTACTCTAATGCTCCCTAGTGCGCAAAGAAAATTCGTGGATACAGTATATTCACGAAAGGTGAATATATAGTTTTAAACATACAATCTTCCGCGAAATTGGAATCTTTCTGCAACGTTTGCAAGCCACTTATTATCAAAAAAAAAGCCGACGCGGAAACATTTTTTTTCTACTAAATAGATCTCTCAAGAATGATTAATTGACAAAAATAATTGAATTAGGTGTTTTACTATCAATTTAAGGTAGTTTGTTATATGGCGAAGTTGTTCTACGTCACAAAGTATGGCGAGCTTAGTTTTAAAAAATTGAAAATATCGCGCGTGATTTCAGAGATCCATCGTCAAATTTCCTGAACACGGTGCCAGAGAAACCAAAAATAACGCATCGAGTGCACCGAAACTAATTCGAGTGCGTCGAAACTAACGTGCGTTAGTATCAATTTCTTGGGCACCGCTGTCGGGGAATTCGACGATGGATCTCTGAAACAACGCGTGATATTTAAATTTTTTTCAATTTTTAAAAACTAAGGTCGCCGTAATTTGTGACGTAGAACAACTTCCCCATATAAACAACTACCCTAAAATTGACAATAAAAATGTTAATTCAATTAATTTTTGTCAATTGATTCTTGAGTGATATAATTAGTGGAAAAAGATTCCGCCTCGGCCTCTAAATTGGCTGCGAAGACGACAAGTTCCTACTTTATGTAGTTTTTAAGAAAAAATTGTATTGCCTAAAAAAACCTGCATAAAGAGTCTCTGTACACATCAGCCAAACGCAAGTATTTTACGACTTTATTCAGAATCAGAAGATGCATGTGCAGTGAGCGTTTTGTTGATTCAGATAGCACTCTACAAGTGCGAAGGGCGAGCTTTCACTGCAACGGCACCGAGGAGCAAGCGAACTTGGCACTAACGCAAATACACATATTTAAATTCTGTTCTGTTTGCGTGCGAATCGTGCGCTTCGAATCAGCCAACCTGAGTTTAAATAGCCAGATTACCCAGTCGGATTCGAAATATGTGGCGAATACTGTACTCGACGAAAGGCTACAATGCTGCACTGGATAGGTGCCACTAGGGCTGATATTGTCTTTTGTCTTAGATTGAACTGCCGTCAACATTTTGCGTTGCCTGAACTCGTTAGGATTCTACGCAAGTAGTAGGGAGCTATCAGCACGGAATATTGGTGCCCGGTGTGTTTTGATTCCCGTCAGGCCACTCAATAAAGTGAGCCATGACCAGTGTGAAACTCTGTTAATGAGGAGAAGCTCTTCCCCAGCGGGAAACCCCAAATGAATTCTATTGAACGCGGAAACAGAGGTGGACCTTATAACTAAAAGTCAAGAAAACCTCGCTCACTTCAAGAGAATTTGCATAAATGTATATTCTTTCATGGTCATGTGAGCATAAAGGGCTATACTCTATATTTGCATATTAATTTAGGCTATTCAGCATCTCTTCTGCAGTATTTGAATTTCCGCACTACTTGGCCACTTTTACGATGTCACAGATTGTCTCTCCCCTTATGTCCAGAATTAGCTCGCGTGAATGGACATCACTGAAATGAACGCAAAGATGAGCACAAGCGTCTAAACTCTCTTCCCCCATTCTCTCTCTCTCTCTCTCTCTCGCAACATATGGCTCGCACTTAAGCACTGGCGTAGTCTTAGCATTGAGCTACCTTGAAGGCCATTTTTTACAATGCCTGCCAGCTGTCTGTGGCTTGCCGCGTAAAAGAGACGTGCTGTATACCTCTACAACACGGAACGCTCCTATTGTATTTGGCCTTTCATGAAAGCCGACTCATTACCTCCCTAAAAGGCTTCGTCGCTTTCAATCATCCATCCCACTTTATCTAGCTAACAAGCTTTAATTGTGCCCCTCTGCCTCACCAATCACGAGCTGTTCTACTAGAATGCAAGACTGAGGGCTATGAGAAAAGACC